GAATACATGTTAGGGGAGTACTAACAAACTTTTAGATATCAGATTTGGGACTGCACACCATTCAGTAGATTTTGCTATTATTGCCCAAGACCTTTAATGTATATCCAATGTCATAGAGTTGAGCTGTATTTATGCAAGTTACCGATGTGTACCTGCGTTAAATAGATAGATAGAGGATAATTTTCTCTATAGCTTTTGTCGACCATGTTGACCTTTCGATAGTCAATTAGCATATCATATTGTGTTTTTGAATTTATTCTCACAAATCGAGTGTAAGCGTGACCTTAGGTGCGGTTACAGATATCTGGGAAATGAGAGATCAAACGAACAATAACATCGTCACCTACAATCAACGAGTATACTTTAAAAACGTCATTATCTATTAGAAAACCTCGGAAACATTTTTATAACACTAGTGCAGAATAATAGTTTTAACATAAACGGAGCTATGTCGACAGTGAATTCATGTAGAAATGTGTTCTAAACTCTCTCATATCAATAGATCCATTCTGTATAGTACAGATAGTAAAACAATTTACTGAACATAAATCATAGGTTTCCTTTCTGCTTCAACGCTTTCTGCGTTTCTTTTTCATGAGATTTCAAGTATTTACAATAATGAAAAGCTGAAACTACAATAAGAGAGGAAGAAATGATTGCTTGTCTTTGTTGCAATTAGTAATGAGAAAAGCAACAATCAGATGTACTATCGTACCAAACAATAGTTCTTGTATGGTAGAATAGTTATAGAAAGTAGTATCTATACAATTGTTCGGTGCATATGCACTACAGAAAAATTACATGTCTATCGCCATAATTCGATAGAATGCGCTAACTCTTTGTGCAACTCATTGACTAAAATTCAACTTACATATTTATGAGTAATACTTGAGATAGGAATAGTTGCAAATATAAAACTTGACTTTGATAAAAAGCAATCGTCATACTTCAAACATACATAGGTAAAATTTTCTCGAGAAATACCAGTTGTTAATGTTTGAAACGATTGATTACTATATTCGACAAGCTTTGCTTATTATGATTTAGAGAGCTATTCAATTCCATTGAATTAAGGCGATGATATTTAATATGTTTGGGTAAAATTACTCTTGAGCTATTCTGTATTATTGACTTGATGGAAATTACATACTAGCTAAAAGCTGCAGCATGCGTCAAATATGATGTAAAACTTGACTCGTTTGAAGATCCTTTATCGCAGTTTCTCATGTCGATTTTCGAATACAGTATAGTTGAGATACGATTGTAAGGATCTTTTGGTTGAATTATCTAAACAAAAAGAAAGCAGGCTAGCATGCATATTATTGGAATTCATGATAACTTAAATATAGTAAATAGAGTCATGTTAAAACGTCTTCTTCCAGACCTTGAAGATTTGTCAACATTGGTGAAATAGATTGCTGTCATCAGCAATCAGGCAAGCATACATTTTAGCTAGAAAAAGTTATTTGAAAGCTAAAATGATTCCTGCCAGCGTTAAAAACATGATACATGTCTCACTTTCTTCTTGATATTGATAGCTTCTGCAGCAAGTGTTGTCAATAGCGTGATGGTCAATGCTGTGAGTCTACTTATGAGTATAATTGTATTCATTATCTCCTGTCAATGTCATCACATCATCCTATAATATTTCAATACAAGATTACAATGCTTTCCTTTTCATGTTTGTCATATGCGTCAAGGACACAGACAGCTTTGCTTCTATCATATATATAACAATCTTTTATCTCACTCTTTTTCTTTACTTCTTTAATTGATTTCTAATTATTATTCAACTTTAATATTATATTTACTTCGAAATAAACACTATTAGCTTGTCTTCGATAACTTAATTGTGATGATTGACATTAACTATTAGTTTACTCCAAATGGATTCAGTCGCATATGTATTTTAGTGAATTGATATAGATAATTCTAGATATCAGTGGGATAATGAGCTTTTTTAAGCAAATATAGATTACAAATTTTCTATGCTGTATTTTCATTCTCTAATCGACTTTTTTCTGATAAATCACTAATATTTCCTAATCTTTCGAGGTTCATCGCTACTTTCTCGAGATCAGTCGAATGTTCTTGTCCACACAATTCTGCTTGTCAATTCAATCATTATCTCTTGATTTATTGTTTCAATCATACTTACAGTTAAATTTGAGTGATATGGATAAACTAAGATTAAATAATAAACATTGAAATACATAACAAAAAAGTTAACTTTTCTTCGTCTAACCCGTAGACATGCCAACAAAGCAAAGGAAAGGAAGATAGTGGAATACGCTAACGAAAGAATGACCACAGGTGTCATGAGTGGTTTCAAATAAAATAGATACCAGTCGTCCCAATACCTTGCTGCTGAAGAGCTAGGTCAAGTTTGAGTCAAAATAGATTCATTTTGAGAAACTTTTGTAAAAGTTGGATCTCAACAATATTATTGTTTTTAGTGAACAGGTTTTATTCATCTGATGCGTCACACTAGGCTGTATATCCTCTCATGTTAGATAGGTCCAAATCAACTGAACAAATCTTTGTTTTGTACATGACAATAATACTAATTCTTCAACAAATTACAATTCTTGGTTTGAAAGTATTTCAATGAGTGTATAACGCATGTTATTTGATTTTAGAGACTTAGATGCTGGAAGCATTGTTACCGATTCTATTTGAGGGCCGTTACCATTTTTTTTCTCGTTTTTGGCAATTTGAATCTTTTCGTAGCTCGCTATCGGAAACCAAATATTTTCTATGTTAACTGCTTGACTGTCGCAACACTGTTGGAAAACGTCTTGCAAATATATATAGGTTATGTTGGAAATAAATGTATCTAATGCATTATACTACTTTGTTTTGTGATTCATAGATAGTCTCCCGTCAATAAATAAGGCCAAACTCATATTTGGAACATACTCATATTTTCTATTCTGTGGTTTAAGTCATAATAATGAATAATTATTCGATTGATTTTTTACTTACTGTTCCATGTTTATTTCGCGAGGATAAATCTCGGTAAATTTTTAAATGAGAACACACTGTCAAAGCCTAATCTCCAGCTCTGAAATATCATCATTAAGAAAGAATTGTCAACTGCATCCTATATGATTGATTTGTTACAAGAATTGTTCATTAATGACAATTATGACATACAGACGAAGAGTCTCTCGATCTGTCCGCATATAAAGGTTTCAAGCATGACTACACTTTGAAATCAATAGATAATGAAGAAGAGCACGAAATTGAAGATGACTTGCTCACTCTAGAGTAAACAATGTAGACATTTAACTATGCCCGTTCAGGTATTGTCTTCAAAAACCATACAACATGCTTATTCTCATATCACAGATCGACAACAACTAAAAAGACTCTGAGAATAGATCGAAACTAATCGGACTCGTTTGTGCACATCTCAGTGTATCGGAGCATTCGTAGTCAATAAGTTTGGAAATGAGTGGACTTATTGTTTACCTGTTCATGAGATAGACATCTAGAGTGGGACTTTCACCCAGATGGAAGTAAAAGGCCTAAATAGTTTAAAACTAAGTGTTCACTGTTTCTTCGAGAAAAGTTATAAGAAATTGTTTCTACATGTGAAATTGTTGGCAAAGTCAAGATTAAGAGCAGTGACAACGACTTTATCGAAGAAGTGAGCAAAATTATATCAAAGTATGCCTTGAACTCAGTACTAAATGCAGACCAAATAAGTTTCATTTAAGAGATAGCTTCGCATCGTACGTTGTCGTATATAGGAGAAAAAAAAGCATGTTTTGTTGAAGTTTTTGAATTTAATCACATGTTTCCAGTGTTATGTTGATAATTATAGCTACAGGTGAACTACTCTGTCCTATTTTTTATTTATCTTCAAAACTGGCGAATCGATTTTCTGTTGAAAATAAGACTTTTTTCTATAAGAACTATTCTTGCCACTTGTAGCAAGTCGTTTATTAGGATACTAGATCTGAGAAGTTTTTAAACAAGGTCACAGCAACTTGATTTGTTATTTTGGTCGATCAATTATCTCCGTAGACTGACATTAAGTAGCCTAGTAATATTCGTTTTTTAAAAAATTTGAAAAAGTTAACTAAGAGGTTGCAGCATCGTATAGTTCTTGATGACTTAATGCTAATGTGAGAAGTCAAGATGATTTTATTAGAATGCAGAATCTAGCTCATAATCAACTGAGTTTTTCTGTCTTCCAACCAATGATTTTCTGCGCATTGTCAACTTGTGATCATATTCAACAATAATCTGCAAACTTGTTGAATATGATACTAGTTTGCATTTCATTTCTAGTGGACAGCTATTGAATTGATATTGTATGACGAAAAGGCGTTTATTCTCTGTAGTTCTTGTCAGCAACTTTATACTTTGAATATTTTTTCATTGTATATCACTTTCATTAGTTCTGCGTAAGTTGTACTAATTAAAACAAAATGTATCAAATAACAGTAAACAAGGTGTCGTCTACCGAGAATCTGAAGACTATTAAAGTTTCAATATATGAAGATATACAAACTTTGAATAAATGAGAGAATGGTACAATTCAGTTTTAGGGCTAAACAAAATCTTTAAACAATAGTTCGTCAATGGAACAGTCGAAGAAAGTATGGTTGAAGAACAGACACTAACATTCACATCCATCTTGAACAACGTCTCCATCAAATATATTCTTCATATTTGTAGAATTTAGAGCTTTTGATGAGTCACTATTAGATATAGAACATTTTAAACTTAAAAATTTAGATGGAATGTTCAGATTAGCTATTTAAAGGTAGAGTGAATGTGTGAACGTCGTGTGCATATTGAAAACACTATATTTCATTTAAAAATTACCAGTGTTCTTTCAGTGTTTTTTCTATACAGTTCGTTGATTCATTTCGTTAATAGAAATTCTTTTTCTTGCATAAACACAAATAACGTCATTGGTATAAGAACACCTGTTATCTTTCACAAAAGAAGATAACGTTTTATTCTATTTTCAAAAACACAAAAATATGGTCACACGTTGTTTATTTGGATTATTTGTTTTTGGAACAAATTCATCAGTTATTTATCGGTTTTTAACTGATGATTTATATGAATATTTAAGACAATGTTTTAAAACTCGAGGTTATAAACTTAATGAGGATCTTACAGAAGATAATCAAGTAAGATTATTTGAATTTTTCTAGATATTATATTCATCTTTTAGATAATAACAGGTCAATAATAATAATGATGATGAACTTACGTTATCAATTGATGATGCTATGTCCCAACATTTATCTGTGTTGATTAGAGTTCATGAACAAACATCATCACGTCATGATCCTATTCGTCAAATAAAACTTCAATCAGGTATACAAGTATTTTTTGATCAGGTATAAGTTAAAATCTCTTTAATAATTATATCATCTATGAAGAGTTTTCTCTGAGTCAAAGTAGATCGCAGAAAATAATTTAATATGTATGGCTGATAAATCATTTGATACAATAGTGATACTTAAAGCAATTAATTTACTAAAAGCATTAATTAAATTTCATATTGGAGTTTTACCATTTATGTAAGTAGTTATTTAATTTCTTTGCATTAAGAATATGTGTATTGAACATTCTGTTTTTTAAATAATTTTCTGTTAATAAAATAAACAATATAAGATATTAAAAACATGACTGTCAAACAAAATAATTTCTCTTCCAAAGATCATATTAAATAGCTTCATCATATCATAAACTGTAATGAAAGAGTATACAATGACTTATATGTATGTCATTCGTCTTTTCTCTAAACATA